TTGTTGATCTTTTGGAGAAAACTGAGTCTTGCTTACCGTCTGTGCGGAGGAAAGAATGGAAGGGATGGAAGATTAAATGTACCAAACCTCCTCTCCTCAATAAGCCGTGCACCGCAGCTCCTGTTGCCGAACCCCGGGAAGGAGCATTCCAAATGCCGAGTCCTCTGCAGCGGGAGCGGCGGGGCCCCGGATGGCCGAGAGGAGACCTTGCCCCGCGTTGGCTGCCGGGCGAACACGCGCAGGTTGGGGGCACTCCCTTCCGTCCTCCACCCTGGCCGGGGTCTCCTGAGCCCGCACGACCCTCCTGAAGATTCGCCAGGGCTGTGGCCTACCTAGCACACCGCGGGGATTTGTTTTGCGTCTGGAGCTTCCCTGGAGGAGGCAAGTGGGGCGCAGCGGGAGAGGGCCGGAAGGCAAGTCCCCTTTGCCTTCCCACCCCCGCCAAGGGTGCTTTTAAGTGGGTGAGTCTCTCCTAATTAATTCAAATTCCCTTCTCGCTCGCTTGCATCCCTCCAGGCAGCGGGAGCTGGAGTCTGCAGGCCGAGCCCTGGTGGCTGGAGCAAAGGTAGACCTAGCGTGGGCGCGGTTGGCGGACGCCCGTGGGAACCGATTCCCGACATTCGAGAGCTGTGGCTGGGCTGCTGACCCGAGGAGTGAGAGGAGCTGCGGGCCTGGAGTTCCCGCCTTCTTTCTTCCCCTCCCAACTCGAGGCTTGAAGGAAATCGAGACGCCGGTCACCGAGATGCCCAGCGCTGGGCTAGCTGCACCGCGCCCTCGGGTTTAGGGGTAGTGGGCGCCCCGGGCCGCAGGACCGCCCTGAGTCCACTTTTTTTCTTATCCTTTTTGTCCTTTTCCTTTTCACTCTTCCCAACCTTCCTTGCCCCACTGTTAGAATTTTTTTTTTTTTTTTCCCTTAAGTGGAACTTCCTTTTTGGGTAGAGAACAATTTTTTCTCCTCTGAGTATTTCCATAGGTTACACTTAGGCTGCTGAGTGGCCTTGGGGAAGTCACGGAAGTTTCTGGGCCTATGTGAAAAGAGGTGGATGATGTTTTCTAGGACTGATTTCCTGCAGATGCTTCTAAAATTCAGCCCCAGAGGACTCTGACAAGGGAATGAAGGTGTTTTTTCTCCCTCCCCACCTCTCTACCAACTGGACGGAGATGTGTGCATGAGCACATAATCATCTGGAAAAGAAGGCTTTTGGTACGAGTTTTACATTAAATTGAAGGAGGGAACGAATTTAACTCTTAATTTGAAAAATTCCAATATAAGACACCCCCTCGAGAAATAAAAGTAAGGTGATAATGCTTAGACTCCTTGGATGATTTTGCAACATTTCTTTTCAGATTTTGTTTTGCGAATCCGCCCCCTTGGCTGGTTTTGCCCCTGGGGGAGCACAGAATGACTCGTACATTCCTAAGAGGGCAAGGGGAGGGGATGGTGATGGTTAAGAGTGAAGCTGGCTCTGGGTGTAACTCTGCCAACTGTTAGAGGAAGGCAACGGGGAGGGTGGTCTTTTATGCGGGTTTGGGATCTGGTTACCTTTAATTCGCCCAGGAGGCCGCGTCTTGCACTAATTGGCGTCTGTCAGCGGAAGGCTCAGGTTTCTCCACTTGCCTCGGACAGTGGAAGCAAAGGGGCAAAAGGCAAAGTAATCGCTCAGCCAGAAATACGCCAGGCCTCCGGACATCATGGGCTTCTCCTCAGGCCCAAGGCAGTGGAAGGACTCAAGACCAGGAGGAGACAACACCTTTTAAAAGTCCCTTTCTCGCCAGTCTCTTTCGCTTCATCCGTTCAGGCAGCAAGGGGCTGGATTGAGTTCTGCATCCCTCTTAGAAAAACCTACTTTTCACACCTAAAATCGAGTTATTCAAAAGCAAGCCAACCACTGCAGGTGCTTGGACTGGAGTTTCTCTGTCCAAAAGCTATTAAAAAATACCACGCTCCTTACATACCCTTAGCTTTTAAACATTTTTCACCGACACCACCTCACCTAAACCTGCAAGCCCAGGCGGTAGGCAGACTCCTCTTTCTCACTGGGGAGACAAGGAAATGGAGAGACTCAAACCAAGCAGTTTGTCCAAGATCACAGTCAGGAATGCCTAATCCCTGATTGAGAACCCCTCTGCAAGGCCACTCTCATTCCACTGCTTGCTGTCCTCCCCTCCCATGAACTGGACACACAGCCCTATGACTCTGCCCAGGCACTCTGAGGATGCCCTTCTAACCTGCCCATTCACCCCCCAGGGTGGAATCCATTCACTGATTTATGCTGCAGTTTTTGCCACCATCACAGACACAGGTGATGTCTGGTGGACACATGGCCCTGGAATTAGCTTTCTTTCAGATCACATTCTCTTTAGGACAGTTCTTCAAAGAACCCATATTAAAACTCCCAGACATGCGCAAGCACACCCACACCCACACATATCCACACACCCAGCCTTTCATGTTCCCCTCACTGGCAAGATTCTTCCTATAAACCATTAAAAAAAATAACCTCAAATATAACTCTTAATTGCCTCCAAGTCGATGTTTCCTCATCACTAAACTTTATAGCTTCCTAATCTTTAAGACAAACTCCCTTCGGGACTCTGCCCCTTCCAGGAGTCAGGCCGAGAAAAGCAGCATCTCCGATACTCGACCTAGTGTTCCAGACCCAGAGGATGAGCAAGGGTGTCAGGGTGCTAAGATCCTGGGAGGCAAGGAAAGGTCTCCGAGGGCTGGGGCTGGACCCTGGGAGACAAACCGCTAAGTTTTCCATCTGCTGGTCGCCCCCTACAGGTCATTTCGACTAGCGCAGCGAAAGCCGGTTATAGCTCGGGCACGTATTTTGCTCTAGCCTCGGTTCGCACACCCCTGGACCTCCGGATGCACCTTCCATCGACCGAGAGATTATGTGCGGGGGCCCAACGCAAGCACTCCGCCCTGGAGATGCTCTGAGGGCTACAGGCCTTGGAACTGGATTAACTTCCTAGAATGAGTTCTGGACAAAGTGGAAACCAGTTTAAATTGGTGTGTAGCCGAAAGCCAAAATCCTTCCCATAAAAATCAACAGACATTCTCTTTTTATTACAAATAAATCTGTCTAAGTGGAGTAAAAAACGGGTATCAATTGTGTTGCCTTTAAATCTTAAAGGGAAGAATTTCAGTGTCTTGTCGCTAGTCCCGCGTTCGGTCACATCAAGTATGTTTCAAGATCCCCCCTCTCCTGCAATTGCTTGCGTTCATTACATGTATTTCCATTTTCCCTTCTACTCTAAACCTTCATAGTATAACAAGCTTAAACCAAGAAGAGTTTTTCAGAAACGTGTGGTCAGACCTCTCTTAGACATCTGCCAGGATGTCTTAAACAGCTGCTGGCCGTTTTGGGGTCTGGATCTGAATATCTCCTAAACTCCAATAAATAAAGGGGACCATCTCCAGGCTCTAGTTCAAGGTTGAGAAGTGGCTGGAAGGAAAGTTGTAGGCAGATCTCTTCCCTTCTCCGCCTAATGGATTGCTGGAAAAGGCCCTGTGGGTCTCAAGCGGCTGCTTGTGGCCAAGTGTCAAGCTTCGGGCTCAGGCTCGGCCGGTATTGCTGCTATGCGTGGAAATATGAGCGAGTAATTTTATAAGTAACAAAGGATCAGAGATGGTATGAGGCTCCTGTTATCCAATGTCATTTAGAAGCCTTGGATCAGCAGCTTCTTGAGGCTAAAAGTGAATTCAAGAAGCCCTGCCTTTCCCTTTTCCCAGGGGTGTCAGCTAAATTTAGAAATAACCTCTATGTGTTTGCACAAATCATGTACCATTTGCTGTTTGTGTAAAAACTGATTAGCCAGACACAACTGTGAAACAACTTGTTACTTTTATAGCTGCAACACACAAACAAATTTAGATCCGTTTAGTTTTCCTTGTAAAAGGAGATTAGGAAGGCCCCGCCTGGAGACTGTGTGGTCCATAATCTCTTCTCCGTGAAGGTTACTGTTGCTTCTTTCAGTTGTAGTTGATTATCAGGTTCTTGTTTATCGAGTTAAACTATCTCAACCGCCGAAGCTTGTTTTCTTTTAGGACCCTGATCCAGAAGGACTGTTTACTCAGGACACAATAGTGTTTGCTGTTTACTGGGAAAAAAGATTCGGTATTTGCGATTCGTCTTTCAAAGTGACTCCCTTACTCACGCCGACAGTAGGGAAAGAAGGCTCGGATCCGAAACCGGGAGGCACCTCCACCATCTGGAGGCAAAGGGGACGCTAGCTAGAGGGACTGGCCGTGTTTTGCAAACAGGACGCGCAGAGGGCCGAGCTGACAGTACTGCTGCCACCCGCTCCAGTTTTAAAAGCGATTTCGCATAAGTAATTGTAACAGCTAAATTAATTACAAAATAATAAGAATTGATGCGGTTTGAGGATATGTTGGTGGTGATAGGAACCGGCCTCCCGCGTCTAGATGTTTCATTTCTACATTAGACCTTTTAAGGCTGCAGCAGCTGAAATGCACATTAAAAATAATTCACGAGGACACCTCCCCATTCCTGCCCTATGATACCGCATTTCACACTAACCTAGCCTAAGGTATATTTCTAAAAAGTTTAGAAAGGTGTGTGTGTGTGTGTATGTGAACCTACTTTAAAAAGTGTTTAAGACCACTATTCCTTGGGCTTCAGAAAGGCCGCATGTCGGAGGGAGAGAAGACATGCATAGGAATCCTTCAGAAATAGAAACTATGTTGTAGGTTGATAATTGCCACAGAGAGTAGGTACCTTACTTGAAAATACTATGAAAAAATAAAGCAACTATATATTATCTCTCAGGTTACTACAGACTATATAATTCCACAGCAAAATTTAAAATGCTGTTATATACATTTAAAAAAATCAGCTGGGCTTATTTACCACTTCGACTTAAGGAATGAAAATAAATCATTTCAAAAACCTAAGATTTAAATGCTAAAATGAGGAATATGTTTGGAATTTATATTCTTTCCCAAGGTTAACTGATATGACTAAGAACTCTCATTTAGGAAGATTTCATTGTGGAAGACAGTTTGGTATTTTTTGTAAAAATAATAGATTGTGCTGTTGTTTAGACTTAGAGGGTTTTTGTTTGTTCTAATGGCAGCTTATTTTATTTACATAAATATCTGGTCATTACATTAAATGGATTGATCTAACAATATCATGGTCCACATCCCGATTTTATGTAAAAAGTTAAAATAAATATATTAATGTGATTTAAATTAGGCATATACTTTCCTTCCTCCAATTAAATTTATCTTAGACTCAGATTACGAATTAGCTAAGTTTGAAAAGGTCATTACTTAAAACTCAAATTTCTGTAAAAGATAAATGCAAATACCATTTTTAAATCTTGTCATTTGCCTCAGACAGCTAAATAAAAATTAGGATGACATTTAAAAAATTTATTTACAAAGTTTTGTACAACACGATGGAATAACATTTAGAATACCATATATATTCATCCATATATAAACAGACTTTTATAATAGAATGACACTTTTCGCCTTCTGAAAATTTTTTTATATTTAAAATCTCCCAACGTCTCTATACATTTTTTTTCTCACATAAAACTGCGGAGAGTGAACCTTCAAAAAAATGAAAGTTCAGAGCTCTAATCTACTGAATTTGTTTTTTCTTAAAAAAATAAAAACCCCAAAAGGAAAGTCAATAATTTTTATACAAATATGTACAAGTAATTTTCCTCCCATCCCCACGCCTCAGAGCAGGCGCCGTCGGGGCACATTTTTGGAATATTCAGTTTTCGGTTTTACCTGTAGGGAAAGCTAATCCCGGCAGGCTCGCGGTGAGAGTTCGCGCCGCCAGCCTAGGTGTGAGCGAGAGGGTGCAGGCCGACGAAGGTCGGTGTTGAGGGTCGGGGAGGGGGAGGAAATGGAGGATAGTCAGAGTCCAGGATTGGGCAGGGGGGCCGGGGCGGGGCGCGCAGCCTGAAGTGCAGCCGCCTCCCCGGGCCGCTGCTGGGCCCTGCGACCCGGCCACCGGCGCGTCCCTATTGAGCAGGCCACTTGGCTTGCGCTGCGGCGGCGGCAGCCGCGGCGGCCGAAGCTGCGGGCTGCAGGAACTGTCCAGAGAGCGGAACGCTTAGGATAGGCGCGATGGTGGCCGTCGTCCGGCTCAATGACAGCGGCTGGTGCGAGGCCATGAGCGCCGCCGACTGCACGGTCCCGGGCGGCCGCAGGAAAGACTGCGCCGTGCCGCCCCCGCCGCCCCCGGAGCCCCCAGTTACCCCGCCACCCCCAGAGCCCACTGCTGAGCTCCCGGGCGCCGCGGGGCCACCGCCGATGATGTTCTCGATGCTGAACGACGGCCGCGCGCTGGGCTCGGACTTGATGAGCGACGCCGTGGTGCCCGCAGCGCCCGCCGTGCCCGCGGCGGCGGCGGCGGCGGCACCCAGGCTGTTAAGCTGCAGCTGCAGGCCGGGGCCGAGCTGCGAGCTGAAGGCGGCCGCTTTGCGGCCCAGCTCGCCCGAGGGCAGCAGCGGCACCGCGGGCGGCAGCACAGGTGCCACCGGTGGCAGCGCGTACGGGTACTGGAGCGCGGCCGCTGCTGCCGCCGCAGCCGCGGCTGCTGGGTGCGAGTAGGCGCCGGCCGCGGCCGCGGGGTGCAGGCCATAGGGGCGGCCATAGGGCCCCGCAGCGCCCGCCGCAGCCGCCAGGCTGTAGGCGCCAAAGCTCTGCATCATGAGCGCCGTCTGCTCGCGCAGGTGCTCCTGCTGGTGGCGCTTGAAGCGTTTCCGGCGCCGCAGGAAGCTGCCGTTGTCGAACATGTCCTCGGACTGCGGGTCCAGGGTCCAGTAGTTGCCCTTGCCCGGGTTGCCCGGTTCGCGGGGGATTTTGACGAAGCAGTCGTTGAGGGAGAGGTTGTGGCGGATGCTGTTTTGCCAGGCGGGGAACTTCTCCCGGTAGTAGGGGAAGCGGTTGCTGATGAACTCGCAGATGCCGCTCAGGGTCAGCTTCTTCTGCGGGCTCTGCAGGATAGCCATAGTGATGAGTGCGATGTACGAGTAGGGCGGCTTCACCAGGCTGTTCTTGGGCTTGCTCGGAGCCAAGCCGCCCGCTGCACTGCTGCCCGAACCCGGCCCGCCGCTGCTCCCGCCACCCTCCTCGCCGCCAACTCCACCCTTGCAGCCGTCGGCCTCGGAAGGGCCCGCCTCGCCCCCTTGCGCGGCCCCTGTTCCAGCCGCCTCCTTGGGCAATGCCAGGGGCTGCTGGTGCGGTGGCTGAGGCTGCCCGTGGTGGGGTGCCGCCGGCGTCACCTCGTCCGCCTCGTCCAGGCGCAGCTCCGGCGGCCCCGCGGGGCTATCACAGCCCGCGTCGCTCTCCTTCTCCTCCAGCCCGTCGTCGCCCTCGCCCACCACATCGATGTCCACGTCCTCGGCCGTCAGCACCGTCTGGCCGGACATGTCGCTGGCGCTGCCGCCACCGGAGAGGGTCATCCCTCCTCGGGGTTGGTGGCAGAGGAGGAGAAGGAGCGGCAGGAGATGGGGGTCGTCAGGGGCTGCCGTTGAGATCAGGGGAAGGGGATTTGAGCGTCCCCGAAAGACGGGGGTCTGGGAGAGGGGAGGGGGACCTAGGTGGTTCGGGGCCCTCCCGGTTTGGCTCACTCTCGGCGGCGCAGCATCGCGTGGCGCGGGCGCTGCGGGCCGCCCCCCGCGGGCGTGCTCCGCAAACTCCTACTGTCCCTGGCGCTCGGTACTAGGCGCTCGCTGCTGCTGCCAGCCCCGGCCGCTTCTTCACGCCGCGCCCCCTTACTTCGCCCGCCTTCCTCAGCCTCTGGACCGGGCGTGGGGAGCAGGAGCGGTACAGGCTGGTGGGCGCGGGACGCCGGGCACCAAGCAGCTCGGGAGGGCGCGGGCAGGGGCAACGAGGGAGGGGGTGTCAGGGACGCCGAAGCCCCCGTAGTCGAAAGTCCCGTTTTAAGGACTGGCCTGATAGATTACTTTCTACTTAAAGATCCAGTGGGAGGCGGGGCCACGTGACCGCGCGTGACGTCAGGGCCGCTGCGGTGCCGGCCAAACTCAAGTTGGTTCAGGGAATTGTCAACAAAGGGATGAGGGACGCTCAACTCAGCGCCGCACCGTGCGCCAGCGTCCCCCGGACCCCCGAGGGCGCCCTGGCTTGCCCCGGGACCCCAGCCTAGGCTGGAGCTCTGCGCTGGGGTTGAGGGAGCCTGTGGGTGTCAGTGCGGAAGGATGGGTGTGAGCAAGCGAGGGCGTGGGCCTGGGAGCGTCAGGCGGACCCGGCTGCATTTCTGCCTTTCCCCCGTCCCCTTTGCCAACACTCCTTAGGAAGGGACTGGGCGACAGAGCTTGGTAGTATCTGTTTTTTCTTTGTGTTTTTATTCTTTTTAGCTCTAACGAGTAAGAGATGCGCATCCGGCTCCGTTTTGCTAATTGGACTTAAGACCCCCAACCCTCCTGCTTCAGTGCTTATTCGGCGGCAACACCCACTGATTGCACGCGCTCCCCTGCCCCCAAAGCCAAACAACCCGGGCCCCAGCCTTTGCTTTCCCGGCTAGCTGTGCGAGTGTTTATATATATATATATATATGTATATTTTTTCCCCGCGCGTCCAACATCAGCTGGGGATCCCGAAGGTCAGAAAATGGCCATTGATTAATCTATTAGAATAGTTGCCGAGAGAAATAAAAACGACGTAAAGTAACAGGGAACCTATAACTATAGAAACCGTAACAAGCTGCTCGGAGTTGTTAAAAGACTTAGCATGTGAAAAAGTCGGAAATGAGGCGCTGGGGAAGGAGCCGGGATTGGCAGCGGCCTGGGTAAGTCGAGTGGGGCTGGGAAAAGGCTTCTGGGCCTCCAGGTTATGCGCCACACCAGGGCTGAGACTGCCGAACGACACCGGGAATGAGACTGTGTGACTCCCCTTGGGCTGGGGCCCTACTTCTTGGGAGCTGGGGAGGGCGCGGGGGTCGGGTTTACCGGTGGGCTGGGTACTCAGTTGCTAATAACGTGGATTCTTTCCTTTAAGGCTTAGCTAAACCCTTCAAGATTTAGCTTCCTTGGTAACCAGCAGCAGAGCGGGTGGAGAAGGAATCAAGGATGTGGCCAGTACACACCGAATTTTCTTGGCAAGGGAAGTAAGTGATGGTAGGAAAGACTGTGGGGATTTAAAGAGGTTGGGGCAGGGGTGTGGGGGGACCGCAAACCGACTCCGAGTGCGTGGCATTGCTGAAGCAAGTGTACTTGGAGCAAACACATCTCCAAGTCGTGCTCCTTGACTGGGTGAATCCAAGGTGCAGCACCTCTTCCCTCCCGCATTTTTAGGCCAACTCACCAGAGTCTCTGTAGCCTGCCTCGTGTGACGGGGCTCCTGGAATCCGAGCCCAGTCTGTCTGCTAAGGCCTGGGTAGAGAATGCTGACCCCACCAGAGAAGGAGCATAAGGGCAGGAAGTCGGAGAGGAAATAATTAGTAAAATATTTACAGAAGACACTAGAAAATTGATTTAACTCTTGGTGGACAGTAGTACTTCTGATTCCTTCAGTCTATGCCTAACTTACGATTCCTTCTACTTAGCCTAGACACACGAAGAAAAAATCTGTAAACTTAGTTTATTTTAGGCAGTGCGACACACAGATTGACTTCCGTCTCCATTAGATAATTTCTTGGATATTAACACTAGCTCATTGGATCACCACTTCGCAGGACGTTCCTAGTTGGGGCTGGGGTGAGGGTGGGGGCAGTTATTCCATCACTGAGGCGCCCGTGAAACTTAAAGGTTTTTCTTTTGTATGTTTATAAATCACCCCCCGGTTTCATCTGAGGCTAAAATGAATCTCTGAGTTGATTTCCGCAGCTGAACCGCTTTGTGGCCCGCAGGTTCCGAACCGTTTACAATGCCATCTAGATAGCCTCTGGAGAAAGTGACTGGAGCGGCGAGCTGGCTGCCCACTGCCCCTGGCTGCAGAGGTCGCGGCTGCAACTGTCCGAGCAACCCAGTAACTACAAAAGGAAGGTCGGAAGGCCAAAAGAAAAAGAGAGAAAAGAAACCGGAATTTACAAAATCATAAATTCCTTTTGTCAGCTTCCGCGGTCCAGCTCCGGAGGCAGGCGCGGAGGCTGGCGCGGGCCCCACCGCAGCTTGGAAGGCTGGGCGGGTGTGGACGCGTGCACGTGTATGCGCGCAGAAGGGTGGCGGCTCCAGGGACTGCCTTCGGCAGCCTTCTAAGTAACCTCCAGATGAGCCTGTTTTTCATTCCGCTGCCCTCCAGGGTTGGATCGCAGACTCCCTAGGAGCTGTTGGTCTCTGCCTCTCACCCTCCTTCGGACCGATCCGTCCCTTCCCCGGTATTTTCATTGGAACCTCCCTGGGGGTAAAGGTGGGGGTGGGGTGGGGTGAACAACTCCCAGTCGCCGGTTTCATTTGTTGCGCTTTTTTCCTTCGACACAATAAAAGTCAAATTAATTGATTCATACCATTAATTAAGGCGCTTAGCGTGAAAAGCAACGCTTCCCCTCGGTTAGAGATCTATTGTGCTAATCTCTTGTTCAATCAGTGTTACCATCTGATGCCGGGTCTGGCCCTTATAGAAACTTCTCGACTCGATTAGCTAAATGATAAGACGTGCAGGACCTACTGGCTGTGGCCCCGACGTCCGGCGTGCCGGCCCAAAGGCTTAATACCGATTTCCAGCGTTGGCTGCCGATTTTCCCGCTACCCACTTGGCTGGGGAACCCGTCGCTGTTTTCCTCCTTCCCGGCGGACAGTAGCGCCAGCGCAACATCCAGAGGCGGGAAGGAGGCAAAGCAGCAGCCCAGGGGGGAGGCTGGAAGGGTCCGGCTGCCTTCGCCGCGGGACGCAGCCAGGGCGGAAGGGACCGAGCCCCACGCGGTACAGGGACCTGCCCGAGGCCGACTAGATTCCGGGCTAAATAAATCTTGTTTTTTGTGTAATTGCAGTTTGCAGCTAAAAGCCCACAAGTTGTCAGTTACCGCCAAAAACTAGGACAGAAAGAGATAGAAGAAGCGAGACGGATATAGAGAAAAACCGATACATTAGTAGGGGTGGGAGGTGGGGAGAGAGTGTGATAGAGGGAACCGCAATATTGGGGAGAAGGGGGAGAAAAAAGAAATGTGGACAAATATCTGAGTCGCAGAAGGTTACTGGGGGAAATAGAAGGAGGAGTATAGACAAATTACTACGCGTGAGAGTGACTACTTGGGTCACAGCAAGCAAACTTCCCAGGAGGGATTTAAAGACGGCACCCAGCTGTCTCACCTGTTCAAATGTTTGAAACGTGTCGGCCAAAGGAGAATGGAATGAGGATCCTTCCTTTTCTCCTGGGCAGGCAGAGTTCGTATTACCCAGCTGGGGAAGCCACCACCAGGACGGGGACTATCAGGGAGGTTGGTGGTAGTGGAGGGGACCGAGATTCTAGCAACAAAACAGAAGTGGAGTCTGGATCGATAGGAAAGAAATTGAGACGTCTCGGGGGAGGGGAGATTTAGTGTGTGCAGTCTGGGGGGTGCGATAGCAAGGGTGGGGGTGGGGAGAGGTGGATGGAACAATTTATGATGGAGAAGGGGAAATTAATTTCAACTCTGTTTGAGTTCTTAGTGGTCAACACCGGAGGAGTGGCACGGTCAGAGTGTGCAGGAGGCAGGAATGGCCCACCTACTCTTCTCCAGGCCGGAGAGAATCCAGGTGGTCTCCTCCTCCTTAAAGTCAGAGACTATGCCAATGGCTTGAATAAATCGTTGGCCTATATGACAGAATCGTCACGCCCGCGCGCGGGTGCACTATTCTTCCCATCCGGGAAGATGGGACCAAGTTCCGCGCAGAAAGGGGCGAGTCTCCCACCGACAGCAGCCGCTCTCTCTCTGACAGAGGAAACAAAACGTGGGTGGAGTCCCATTGGAATATACCCTCCCCGCCAAGAAAACCGAAGTCGACTCCTTCTCGACAATCTTCATAGATTTGTTAAACTATTACCAGCTTCTGCCTGGATGGCCTCCACCGAGCAAGGTGGTAAGGGCTGAGATTATACCCAGGACCCCAACCCATCTATTTCCAAGTGGGTGGTATTTCCAACCCACTTTCCACCACCCTGTGTACCTCTCCAGAGCTCTTCGGAGTGGGGGTGGGGGTGGGGGAAGAGGCTAATTTAATGTTCTTGTTTGGATTTGCATCTCAAAACTTCATTTATTTTCAAGGTGCCCGCCACTCAGAGCCCATGCCAAGAAGTGCATATGAATGGCGAGAGACCAAAGGGAAAGGAGAGAGAGAGAGGATGAATTCGAATTTATTTATATTGGAAATGTATAAACATCCATTTTGTAAAAGGCAACACGTTTAATTAACGATGAGAGAGCAGTTAGGGGCAGAAAGCTAGTAAAATTGTGTGATAAATTTATGGCATTGTTAGCGTGCTTTTAATTATGGCTATTATGTTAATTATTTCACATTAGCATGGAGTTATCAGCAGCATGTCAGATTTAATCAAAACGAGCCTTTCTCTCGAAAATTGTTCTTTTCATCCGCAAGGAGAAAGGTCCTCGGCAGGATCGGGGCTTGAAAATGACTTGGCATTGAAAGCCCTAGTCTTTCCGACACGGTTTGGTGCAATGTGGCTCGGCCGGCTGTCCTCTGGGTCCCTCCAGGCTACCCTCGGCTCGTGAGGAGCCGAGGGCTGGGTTTTTAGGAATTCACCATTTTGGCCCCCTTCGGAGCCGACACTTCATCAAATGGGATCATTCTGTCAAACAATATGATGCTGCTCATTTTTATCTGTCCCGCGTTACAAAACCCCCATTCAGCCCGCCAAGGAGCAACAAAAGCCTCGGAGCGGCGCGCTGACAGCCACTGCCTCCCCCGCGCGATCGAGAAAAACGCGAGAGGGGTAGGGGAAAGCAGGCGGCCGGCGCGCGCCCCTCGCCGCCGGAGGGAACGCGGCCTACGGGGAACCGCGCGCTCAAACTGCTGGTCCTCGGGTGGGGCCCGCGTGGGACACGCCTCTCGCAGGTCCGCCCTCGCCTTCGGCCTCCCGGCGGGCTCAGGACAACGGGCGAAAGTTCGTTTTCTCCCCGCGAGAGACTCGCCAACCCAGGCCACATCGATTTCTTAATCACTGCCGATCTATATATTGGGAGCAAATAAATAGCCGGTTTGGGAAACGTTTCAATTGTAGGCTTGATAGTTGGAACGCTGACGCGGGAGGGCGCACAGAGCGGCGGGACAGGCGGAAGGGGCTTGTGGGAGAGTGGGGAGAGCCACTTGCTGCGGGAGCCTAGTGTGTGGGCGCGGGGCCGCCTGCCACAGGTCCCCGTGGTCTTGGACCTCGGGTAATGGCCAGGCCTCCGCCAGGATTCCGCTTTCACCTCTCAGCTCCCTCTGGCGGCGGGGCGGGCAGGAGCTCAGCGCTCAGCCCATGTCACATCCAGGCAAGTTCTCCAGGTTTCGTATTCCTTTATAAAGTTTTGCAACCAACCGACCTTGAGACCAGTTCCTGGGACTCGCAGGGGTAGAGGCCCCTCAGGCCCTGGGCAGCATGGGCCCACTTCGCTGGCCTTACGGCCCAGGCCCGCGGACACTGTTGCCTTCTCGTCCTAAGGCCGGGAGCGCCCCTCCTGCGAAAGACCACTCAGGCCCCGCCTTCCCGGGACATGGCTGTGGACCCGCCAGCTGTTGCCTTATTTTTAGAGCTATTCCATTCGCGCGGTTATATTTAACTCGATCCACTCCTCTGAGGAGGTCGTTCGGACATGAAATTCTCTACATCGCAACTTGGGCCCACCCTCCCTGACTTCGGGGCGGTC